AAGAGAGGATAGGAGAGAGGGTAAGGGGGGGGGGAAGAGGGGGAGAATAAGGAGTGGAAAGAGGAGAGGGGAGAAGGAGAAAGGAAGGGGAAGTAGAGTAGAAAAGGATGATGGAGGGAAGAAAGGAAGTGGGGGGGGGAGGAGAGGGGCAGAAGAAAGGGGGGGATAAGGCATAAATAGGGTGTATGGAGAGCAGAAGAGCCAATAATTGGTTTTCATTTTTTTATTTTTTATTTCTTTTTTTCTGGGAGTTGATGGCAAGACGAACTGATGTAATTAATAATCAGTACAATATGATATTGGCTATGTAATAGTATACATGTGATTATATGTTATGAAAATGGAAAATAAAAAAAGTTTTGCTTGGAAAAAACAAAAGAAAGCATGTGGATGTTGAAATGTGGTATGTTTATGCCAAGCAAAAGGTGAGCTGCTGCATTTGTAAAGCTGACCTGAATGTTTGGGAAGAAAGCATAAGGAGAAGTAGACAAACAATAATGTCAAAGATTCATAGCCTCTAGAGACTCATTTATAATTCAGAAAATTTAAAATGGTATTTCAAAAATCAGAGTGTTCTGCTCACAATCCAGTAGTATCTGCTACTTGCAGCAAATGCAGGCACACACAAAACACACCAAGAAGAGATTCGGCATACTTACCTAGTATGATCATATTCATAGGTATATTCATTACTTACTTAATTAAGACATTTTTGGAGGTTGCACAATTATAAACTGACTATATGATCTGGGTCAGATAATATGTTATATTACAAAGCCAAACCAATGAAATGTCCCAAGGTAACAACAAAAGTTAGTCTAAATCTGGGGTGTCAAACTTCTGTCGTGATGGTGGTGTTACATGATGTAATTGGGACTCCCCCCCCCTTCACTAAACTGGGCATGGGCATGGCTAGTGCGTGACGCATCTGGCCCTGAGGACCGCAACATTTGGCAGCCCTGGTTTAAATGTTTGACCCAATTATGCCTGTCATGCAAACAAAGCTAGTGTATACCCTGAACAGTTGCAACTATTGTTTTAAAGGTCCAAAATAATTGGCAGATGCTTGTTTTGAAGAAACAAGCATCTGTGGGTAATTTGTGAAAATATCAATTTAGAATTAATTTATCTCTAATCTTATTCTTCTAATTAAAATTCTCCCCCCTCCCCCCCAAAAAACCCATGTGGCTTATATACCTATACTAAGAAAAGGGAAACATGTGTTTTCCCACCTCCTTTGTGAGTCTGGCCCTCTTCATGTATCCAAAACTGCTGAATGTGTACATAAAGCTATAAATCAAGAAACAGTTAATACAAGAGGAATATCTGATGGCAGTTGCAAGCAGGTCAAAAAAACTGTTAAAAGCAAGAACAAAATGGCTGCTTTTCTCACATACTGTAGTGGTACCAAGTTCAAGCACATTGTCAACCACGAAATTCTCTGGTTGACTTTAGACCAGTGACCTCCCCTCAACCTTCTTCATGGAGTTATTGTTATAGCAAAACGTTGGTGAGAGTTACAGAAGTCCACCTTTAATTCTGGAATGGAAGGCAGAACTTATTTATTATTTTTCATCCTACCTTTATTATTTTTATACCTTATTTCTTCACAAGGACCCTTTAGGGTGGGCTGGGCTGATAAAGAATGACTGGTTCAAAGTCACCCAGCCAGCTTTCATGCTTAAAGTGGGATTAGAATTCAGTTTCTTGGTTTCTAGCCTAATGCTTTAACCACTAGTTCAAACTGACTCTATATTTTTATTCTGTAAAATATAAATGCTATATATTTATGTACTATATTCTTCTATCTTAATAGAATAGAATGAATGCATGAATAAGTAAGTACTCGAGGAAACAGTGTTTTCCAAAACATTACCTGTATGGAAAGAAGACCTGAGGGAAGGCAGGATGGTTATACATTTTATAGAACAAGTTTGCAAAAGATTTCTTCTTTTCTATTTTTTATCTACATGCAATATTGTTTTACCTTATACAATATTAATTTCTTATATTTCTTTTCTAATTCCTTCTCCATAAGGAATAATTCTGGTTTCATCATCGTGTTGGATCACAATATCTTTTTGCATCATTGTGTCAATTTGCATTTAACATTTTTTTGCTTTTCTTCACAAATCCACTATGCATGCTTAAAGTCCCTTCTTCCTTTTCACACTTCCAATGTTTTGATGATCCTTTTCGCATTTTAGATTACCACCACCAACACATCATTTTGTAAAACTTCTCTCTTAAATAATAACACAACTTAATACCAGTTCCCTATATTTTCCCATATGTCTAGATTTATATTATGATCAAAGTTTGCAACCTATTTCATTATCATACAATCAGTGTTTTTCAAACCTTAAACTTTAAAATGTCGACCTCTACTCCCAGAATTCCTACAGCTTTGCCAAATTGCAATCATAATGCAGTCATGGATTCTGGATTTTGGATACATTCTATAAGTTAATCTATTTGAGGTACAGGTAGTCCTTGACTTACAATACTTTATTTAGTGACTGTTTGAAGTTACAATGGCACTGAAGAAATGACTTAACATTAACATTTTTCACACTTACGTCCATTACATCATTCCCATTGGTCATGCGATTCAAATACAGTCTCTTGAAAATTGACTCATATTTATGACGATTGCAGTGCCCCAGGTTGCGATGTCCTGAGAAGCAAAACCAATGGATAAGCCAGATTCACTTAACAGCCATGTTACTAACTTAACAACTGCAATGATTCACTTAACAACTGTGACAAGATAGGTCTTAAAATGGAGCAAAACTCACTTAGCAACAGAAATGTTAGGCTCTATTGTGATTGTAAGTTAAGAACTCTCTGTACATTGATTGAAAAATTGTTGCAATGTCCCCCATGTCGAAATAAGTGGCAAGTAAACTTAACAAATAAATATTTTGTCCTTTTGAAGGTTAAACAGATTTTAGTAGCATATAAATAAATAACTATTTCATTCATAGGCTGAACAAAATGAAGGCAGACTGGGAGGAAAAATTCTATTTTCAGGCCATGATGAAACCATGGTCTGTGGGATAGCTTCTAAGTCATCTTTTCTTAAAGCTAGCATAGGGCTCATTCTCTCAGCACTGAATTTAATGCCCACATTTTGGGTTGTACTAGGGCGAGCTGACCTAAGCCCTTTTGCTGCCTCAGGTGGAGCAGTAATTGAGCAATAAGTTTCAAACAAGGTGCTCTGGATCAAGCTTACCACCCAACGTGGACAAGGGAGAAAATTCAACAAGTATTTCAGCTCACTAGCAGAAAACAGTACAATAATGATAGATTTTATTTTCACTGTTATAATTCTTGAAATCAAAGTCATCCCAATTACTAAAGATATGATAAAGCCAGTTTATTGATAGATAATTTAGCCATGAATTACTTAGCCATATATATATTTTTGGAGTTATACAGTACACAAAATGATAAAACCACAGAGGGCATATTTACATGTGGTAAGATGCGATTAATACACATCAGAAAAGTGTAAGAAAGAGAAAGTCACTGAATCGACCTCTCCCCAGTCCCTTGAAGCCAGCATTCCTCGGATAGGATGGAAGAGCTTCAAATGCTCCGTAGTTACTTGAATGTGGATAGAAGGATGTTCCTATCTCTTTTTCTTTAAATAGCAACATTACTTGAGCACATTCAGAGAAATAGAAACAGGGAATGTCTATGGAGATTCTCGTCTTCAAAACGTCTTCAAAGAAAAACCAGAAAGTCCAGTTGCCTCTTGGGAAAAAAGCACCTTTGGGTTAGACACACCGAAGTTGGAAAGATGGAAGGCAATTCCCGCGTCTAAGATCTCGAATCAAAACTGATAAAACACTTCGCACAGAATCGGGGTCCGCAACCCCCCTTCCCTGTTCCACAATCCTGGAAAGCCACGTGGTTTTAAGAGTGCATTTCATTTCATTCTAGCATTGAGTGCCAAAAAAGGGGTGGCGGTAGATTATTGATGCGCGCCAGAGAGAGGTGTCCTTCTGTAGTTGGGCGAAGAGGGGAACAGGGAAGACCCCCACACACAAAAAAGCCCGCCCCACTGGCCTCGCCTTCAAGGCGCTGCGGGAAAACGTGGGAAGTAGGGAATTTTGTGTCAACGTGGCGCAGACGGACCAGTCCCCGAGCGTTCGGCCACGCCCATCATCCCACCGAGGCCCCGGATTGGACATTGCAGAGATGAGGGGCGTGTCCGGGGGAGACAACCAGCGGAGCGAAGAGATGAACTGGGGCAGCATTCGAAGAGTGGGCTTCGCGGGCGCTGCAGCTTCTTTGGGGAAGAGGTAAAAGGCGTGGGGGAGACGGTCAGGAAAAATCGATGCTGGCCTAGGGGGGATTTATGGAAAGCGGTTATGGATGGGCAGACCAGAGGTGAGGTGGACGAAATGAGGTCTCTACGGCTGACCGTAGAGAACTTCATCGGGGAAGGCAACCTTTTCCTTTGTTAAAGACGGCAGCATTGGAATTGGGGCAAGTTGGGATGCTCTTGATTTGATTTACGAATAAAATAGGAGAGGTGAGAGGATCCGATTGTGGGGCGCCACAGAGTAGATCGAACCATCCGAAGCAAAGGGGTGCTGAACTATCTGGCGCTTTGTGGGGGCTATTGGAGCAAGAGTGCTTGTGGTTTAGAATGGGAGGAGACCGCCTGGTGACTCTAGAAAACGGAGCAACGTGGCCACGTGTGGGATTTTAGGGACAAACTCCCGGGGGACGCTGAAACCCTCTTTGAAATGGGTAGCAGTAACCACCTCTTATTGAAAAAGTTACTTATTCGTACCAGAGTTCTGCATCCTGCTCTGTTTTTTATTTAATTTGTATCATCTAGTAGGGTTTTGTTTTTTTTTTTGCTGCTATCTACTACTTATAGTTAGATATTTTCTGATGTGGAATATCACTTCTTTTTTTTCATTTGCTTCCTGAATGAAAGATGTATTTTCCACCAAAAGCAATAATAGAGATAAAGTGTTTTAGCTCTGAATTACACAGATTGTGTCTTGGTGGAGCAGGGACTCCTGTGGTTCCTTCTAGTTTGAACTACTAATTTGTCTTGGCATTTGAAGGCAATCCTATGGGGAGAGGGGATAAAATATGCATTCCCTCCCTTGCAAGTAGATATATTAGTTTGTTTCACCACAATCCAGTATAAAATCAGTAAATGTACATAAGGCAAATACTTCCTGGCCCTAATTTCTACTATCAGTGTAACAATATTATTCTGAGGTGTGATGGTAAAGAAAGAGATTAAAGGAAAATGAAATGCAAAAAGTGCAAGACAACTATTATTTGAATAACACTGACCATTCACAAAACAATACTTGAGTGCTAGTGAATACCCAGTGTTAATCAGGTCATTATCACTGTCTCCACTGTTTCTTCTCAACCTCTTTGTCTACTATTCCCTTTGTCTCTTCAGCTTTTTACTGAAGGAATTAGTAAATGAAGACTTGGATTTTGGGGGGAAGGGTAGGCAACAATATGAAAGAGAGTTTTCATTGCTTCTTTCAGAATGGTTTTTTTTTAAAAACTCTGAGGTCCTGTCCTCAGCTAGAAATTATGGTGTTTCTTTATCAAAAGTTCAAACAGGTTAACCAAGCATGGCCCTGTCTAGCCTTTTTAAAATTATCCATCAATTAAACTGCTATGAGCGAGCAAAAAGGTTTTCACCATAATAGATTTGCTATTCTTTAAGAGGTGGGATTCTTAATTCTCTGTGCTTGATTGTTTGCTTGCAGACATTTCATTACCCAAATAGGTAACATCATCAGTATAAGTACCCAATCCAAACGAGAGACATGCTGATGATGTTACCTAATTGGGCACTGAAACATAAGCTCAGAGAACACTGAGAATTCCACAGTTCTATCTTGGGCTACCCATATACTCTTCTGTTGGTACTCTTCAAAATGCCACAACTTGATTTGTCAGTTTTTATTGCAGTGAAATTACTTCTTAAGATGGCTTTGTGCAGTGGCAGGAGGCTGTTAGGTTTCATTCAATCCAGGATCTTCCATAGGCCAAGGAGTTTGGCAATGGAAGGGTCCTTTTTTGTACTACAGCCTCGGATGTAAAGCTGTGCTCCCTTTCTGTGTCATTTTGTTCTTCAGTGGCTTTGTTCTGGACAGAGCAGGAACAGTGTTCATTGAGCCACTTCAGGAATTGAACATTCTGTATTCTGGGCAGCAAACTGAGAACTGGCCTAATTTGCTTCTGCTGCTGTGATCTGCTGATGTTTTCCCCCTTGAAAAGTGCAGCCCTTATTATCAATGCCCACCTCCAACAGAGCCTTAGAGAATGATAGAGCTTTCTGTCTGGATGAATGGACTAGGATGAAAGGAAGTAGAATGACTAAGTAGAGCTGGGAATGGGGACTTGGTGGTCTTTGGTATGGAGAGAGGCCTCAGGATAAAACTAGGTGATTGGCGACTTATCTCAGGCATCTGATCGCAATCCTACATGGCAAGATTATGACTGGGAGATATTGTTTCAAATCTAAAATCAGTGCAGAAAAGAAGCAACATGTTGCTGGATTATATGAGACTGGGAGACTCTGAATCCAACATCTTGCTCAGACATGGAGTTCATTTGATAACCGGGCCAATCTTTTTAAAATCAGTTGTTTTACAGAAAGGTAAATTGATGATTCCCTAGAATGGAGTAGAGAACTACCATATAGGTAAAGCATAAACATAATATACAATTGTTAGAAAGAGGGAATAAAGCAAATAGAAATATGGGAGCAAGGCTCTGTTATCTTGGTAAAGAGAAGAACAACATTATCATGTTATTAGCATCATTAGAATTTGTAGAACTTTACCAGGTACAAAAGAACAAGCCCAACTCACAATGTAAAATGTGATTAAAAAAAGAATAATGGGGAGGAGAAGGGTTTGCAAAAACAATAAGCCGCCCGGAGTCCTCCAGGATTGGGCAGCCTATAAATCGTATAAATAAATAAATAAATAAATAAATAAAAAAGCAGAGCATGATGATATGGACTGAGTGATAGCAGATCTGCTCTCTGATGTCTTAGAGATCTATAATTTCAGATGATGGTAAATATTATTATCTAAAACATTTAAAGAGTGCCAGAATGAATATCAGTACAATGGGGTATAATCCACAAAATGGTACAAGGATAGTCTTAGAAGAAGGATTTGAAGGAAATTAAAGAGGTGGTATTCTCCAAACTCTGGATAGCATAGGAGAATGAACGTCATATTTTTAGAAAGCAGGAGTTCTCAAAAGCAGTGAAGGTGGATGGATACAAGGAACAAAATTTTCAAACCCTGATGTATCAGGATATGTATATAATGTATATGCTCTGTGTTTTCCTTATTCATCATTTTTATTTTTTCAAGAGGCATACAATGGCTTGGCAGAACACGCTTTGCTACTATTACCTGTTGACAGTATGCCTAGTCTGGGCCCAGGCCAAGCCACCCCCTGACAAGAAGGATCGTATCCACCATGGTCAAGACCTCAGTGATCACCCCCATGATGACAGTCAAGACTTCCGCTATGATCATGAAGCCTTCTTAGGCAAAGAAGACGCCAAGACATTTGACCAACTAACTCCCGAAGAGAGCAAAGAGAGACTGGGGTAAAGTTGCATTGGCGAAATTGAACAAAGAATTTTGCATTCCAAAACTGGGAGAGGAAGATCAAATGTCTAGTCCTGTAGGGTGTAAGCTTGTTTTTCTAAGAGGGGATTCTAAGCATGCTGGCTTATTGTGTGCAAACTGGGTTAAGATTTGGTCAAACTGGTTACAAGCATATTTGAAACAGCTAGAGTTTATGAATTCCCTGTCATCTAAGCTTTATGCCCATTCTTGACATGGAATTCAGCCCATTTCAACTACATCAGCAAAAGAAAACCCAACCAAAATAATAATGTGATTAAATAAACAAGTCTCATCATATAGCCTTTTTTCTTCAAGCAGTTATTCTCTTGGTCAAATGCAAAGAAATAGTGCTATGAATCCAGAGCCTTTTAAAGATAGTATTAGCCAGCCATTTGAGAATCATTTCTCCAACGTGATGTTTCTCAGTCCTCATAAGATGTACGGGGTTCAATTTCCATAATTCTCTAGACTGCAGGCTTCCAAGATTGAAAAACATTGTTCAACAGGCATCACGTTCTCATTAGAAAACTGATCAGGCAAAGATACTCCCCCCCCCCAGAACTATTAAGAACGAATAAGGTGTAGAAGGAAGTTTTCTATTTTCTGCCTCAAGTCACCCTTTATAAAATGGTGATTGCCTAGAGCAGGGGTCTCCAACCATGGCAACTTTAAGAATTGTGGATTTCAACAAGACTTGTGAAGTCCACAAGTCTTAAAGTTGCCAAGGTTGGAGACCCCTAGCCTAGAGCAGGGGTCCCCAACCCTTTGGGCACAAGAGACCAGTTCTACGGAGAGAGGTTTTTTCACAGACCAGAGGGCTCTGGTTTTGCCTGCATCCTGTGGATGGGGCTTCGCTTTTTTACCCAGCCTGGTTTCTGGAAGCCACAGACTGGTGCTGGGTCCACGGACTGGGGTTTGGGGACCCCTGACCTAGAGGATATTGAGAAATAAGGCATATTTATCTTGCCTGAAGATCTAGTGAAAGAGAAAGACCCTGATTCTCCTATTACTTCTAGGTAATTGGCTTTCTAATCTAAGTTCATCATCAGGAAACACGCCTGTGTGTTTCATTTTTTTTTAACATTGTTAAATCAAGCACATAATTAAGATAGGGCTCTAAACTGGTCTTTAAATCCCTTGATCTATTGGATCTTAATACCGGCCCCAAAAATGTGCTGTAGATCATCCACTCCCATTGGTCCCCTCCAGAAACATTAGTACTTCACTTCTAAGAAAACCTAGTCTCCACTCCCAATATGTTCCATAAATGTGTTGCTGGTGGTTCGTGACATTCTTTATAGAACCTTAGACTAGAGTTGGGCAGCCCAGTGAGTTTCTGTAAGCCACTCCTGAGTTTTCATGCTTATTTTTTGCAGGAAGATTGTGGACCGAATTGACCGAGATGGGGATGGTTTCGTGACTCAGCCTGAATTGAAGGATTGGATCAAGCATACTCAGAACCGCTATATCTATGAGAGTGTGAACAAGAACTGGAAGGACTATGACAAGGATAATGATGGCCAAATCACTTGGAATGAGTTCAAAAAGACCACTTATGGGCACTATGAAGGTAAGAGGGTGGGAGAGAAAGGTGTTTGTGTGATCATATGTTTATGTGGGGGAGAGAGAAGAAATATTAAGCCAGAGCACAGGAGAGCAGGAGGTACTATAGTCACCTAGCCTGCAAAAAAAGCAGATTGAAAAGGTAGACAGTATCTTGAGAAGTTAGGTTAATAAGAGTAATTGATAAAAAAAATTGCCTTCTCATGATGTGTACTTTGCTGTATCTCATCAATAATTTCAAATTAGTTCAAAAAATTAGTTTCCTCTCTTACAGCAGTTGCTCCCGAAAGGACCCAAAAATCAGCAGTTATAACATATACTTTAATTTCCTAATGCTCACATGCCTCATTACAAAGACTTCACATTGCACTTAATACGGAGAGAGGTTTGCTTACCACTCAGGATATAATCTCATTCTGATGAACTGTTTCATCCATTGTCTGTGAGTGATTATGGTCAACCAATCCTGTAGGAAAATAAGTGTTAATTATGTGCTCAGGTTTACTGGGGGGAGGGAGGCTTCACTGATGCTCATGTCTCTGTTTTCTTCAGGAGAAGAGTTTGGGGATCTTGAGGACAAGAATTCCTATCGGAAGATGTTGGCCAGGGATGAACGACGATTCAAAGCTGCTGACAAAAATGGAGATATGAGTGTGACGAAAGAGGAATTCACAGCTTTCCTTCATCCTGAAGAGTTTGACTACATGAAGGACATTATAGTGATGGTGAGGATGGGAATACTAATACTAAACAGTGCAAAATTGCTCTAGTTTATCTGGCTGTATGAATCTAATCATGATGGCTTATTCAGCAACAGAGCTCAGCATACTATGTCGTAGCACATTATGTGGACCCTGCCTAGTCAAGAGAGATTTCTACTTACTACCTAAATTGGCTTCCCCTAACCATTCTATGGTTTCATTATCTGTGTTTGCATAGAATTAGAATTTCAATAGAATCATCTCCATTTGTTTATTTATCATATTTATATGGCTGCAAAAAAAACAATGATTATAAAAATCAATAAAAGTGAAAATATTAAAATTCCTGGGTTATAGATCTTGCTTATCCTTAACAATGAGTGAACTAGAAAAACTATTGAAAACAGAGAACCTATAAATGGAATAGAAGTAACACTAAATGGTTGCTTAGTGAATTTATATCTGGATTCACATTTTCTATTTTCCCATAGTTGATTTTAATATAGTTTGACCAGTGTTCTCATTCACATGAAGTCTCAGTCATAAACCATAATTTTTGAACTCTACAACTCTCAACAAGCTAAGCTAAAGCCAAAACCAATTACAGCTTTTAATAGAAAGGTCGACAAATTTTTCACTTGGTGGGTATCGCCATATGCTTTTATATAGTATTGGGTGGACAAAAATATTTTAATATATAAGTAATGATGTATCTTTAAAGAATTAAAAATGTCCACAATGTGAGCATGCAGAGAACTTGTGAGATTTGCTTTATTTTAATTTTTCCCCATAAATTCAGTGGCTACCATCTACTAGTATTAATGGGTTAATGGGTAATTAATGGGTTAATCTTCAACTTAACATGTAAATCCAAATACCATATAAAAAACAATGCTTAGTCAGGGGAGTTTTTTCTCAACCATAGAAACTAGATGATGTGTAGACTTCAGTTCCCAGAATTTCCTAGTCAGCAAACTGGTTGGAGAATTCTGGGAATTGAAATCTACAAATCTTCAAATTATTATGTTTGAGAAACACTAGCCTAGATTCTTGCCAATATGATTAGTAGCAAAGGATCAGAGAAGCTTTGCTTCAAAACCTTTCAAAAATATCTAGTAGATAATTAGACTAGGACTTTTAAATAACACATAAAATTATGAAATTTAGGGGGTTGGGGTTTATCCAGTTGAAACAAAGATCAACCACCAAGAATTATCTGAATCAGAATAATCTGATTGCATGGTTCAGAACAGCACTGTCTTGATCTTCCCAGCTAGTGACATGTATATTTGTGACAGCCCCTCTTAGACATTTTGCCATTAAGAAATCCTGTTTTCTGTGATGGATGGTGTACGTATATTGGATGGGTAGACAACATATTTATTACTTAGTAGATAGATGTAACTCATAAAAAAAATGGAGCTGAAACCCCAGCAGCTGTTCAAGGTTTATTTTATTAAAACTTCTGTTCCTGCCTTTCAGTTTCCATTTAAAATGTATTCTCTTTCTCCCCTTTCATTTAATTCACCTTACCTCTCTTGTGAAATGTTAGATTTTTCTTTTAGAAAATATTTCAAATGATGTAAAGCATGTCTCTGTAAAGGATTTTATAATTACCAAATTAAGATGTGGCGCTGTCCTAGCATCCTATTTTATAATCCTGAAAAATCCAGAGCTCATGTTTATATGGTAAAAGGTAGCAATGATCTGCTTTATGCTTGCAATGTGACAAGCAAGAATGAAGTGTGGCTACTGCTATTCAGAAACTGAAGTGAGATGTTGATGTAAAATCATATTCGTATATGCTTTTTTTAAAAAGGGACGAAAGAAATCCAAACCCTCTAATATTCTGTCTGCTGTATAAATTGTTTGAGTTTCAGTTGATAAAGGAGTCTTTTCTCCTTAATGCTTAGGAGAGTAGTCCAATATGCAGTGTTTCATTCAGCATCTCCTTTCTCCCAGATACAAAGCTGACTATAATCTTGGAGAAGTCCTTCCCAATTTCCTCCAATACACATGGATACAGCTGTGATTTTGTGTTAGAGCAGCTGCTTTGCATAAGGTAGAAGGGATCATACTCAGTCCAGAAAAATCTGGGGGAAATCCTATCTGAGACCCTGCAGAACCATTGTTGATTAGAGTAGGGGTCTCCAAACCTTGACAAGTTTAAGACTTGTGGACTTCAACTCCCAGAATTCTTCAGCCAGCAAAACTTTGCTGGCTGAGGAATTCTGGGAGTTGCAGTCCACAAGTCTCAAAGTTGCCAAGGTTGGAGACCTCTGGATTAGAGTGTAGGTCCTCCTTTGAGTAACCAAGGCCCAAACTTAGAAAGCAATTATGACTCACCCACATTTCCCATGACTTCCTTGTTCTGCAACAGAAATATATTACCAAGCATCTAGGAACTGAAAATGCCTTTTACTACAGGCATTATTTCTTGAGGTTTTGCTATCTTTCTGACACAATTCTCTGTGAAAAGATCTACTATACCATTAAGAGTTAACCTTCTGATTTTTTCAGGAAACCCTGGAGGACATAGATAAGAATGGTGATGGCTTCGTAGAAGTTGATGAATATCTCGGTAAGAATATAAGAATTCTTCTTGAATGGTAATGGATTACCCTGTTAAGAAGTAGGCTGGTTTGGGGCAGAGCTGTATTTTTTGAGCCCAGAAGGAGGAGGTAATGAGACTCAGTATCTCTACTATCCTATTCCTTCATTGGCTTGTCTTGATTAGAAGAAAGGTTCTACTTTAGTCCAGTACCTAGAGAGGTGGGGTTAACAGGAGATTTTTGGTATCTCACTTATTCTTATTGATCAGGTGACATATACTCCCCTGAAACTGGGGAGCCGGAACCTAGCTGGGTGACAAGTGAACGTCAACAATTCCTGGAACACAGAGATATCAACAAAGATGGGAAGATGGATCGGGAGGAAATTGGGCACTGGATCCTGCCCCCAGACTATGATCATGCTGAAGTGGAATCCAAGCATCTCCTTGTTCAGTCGGACAAAGATCTGGTAAGAATAATCTAGGCATGGGAAAGGAGCTGCAATGCTCAGGCTAACACAGGAGTTGAGGTATGTGGATGGTGTGTGACCCACTAGCCTTTTTTTTTTATACATCCATAATTGGGCGAGTCCCCAAGAATAAAACTTGATTTGAAGATTTTACTTTAGCTCCAGGTCTCTTGACCTGGGCATGGAAGTAGAAGTAAAAGGCAGGTTTTGATCCTCCCTCAAATCATGCTGGGTATCAATGCATTCCTTAAAGACTTCTGCCCTAGTTTGCTTGTAATTGGGGATTATTACCAAGTCCAATGCAAATTCATGAAATGAAGAAATGGGTCATTTTTTTAATTATGGAAGAAAACTATTTTTGGGAAACTAATAGAATTTAAAACAGAGTTCATTCTTTCCTTACTTTTTCCTCACTTTATCCAATTCAAAAATTGTGCTTGTACTCTACTTTCAAAGAGCTAATGCAATCAGGTCAAATCTTGGCAGAAATTACTTTATTTAATCTACAAAGGGAAGGAATCAAAAGCATATAGCAGCTCACCAGGCTTTCATTATAGGCTTCTCTACTAACATTAGGCAGGATCTGACCAGTACTACCATAGTTATCCCAAAATTTAATTCTTAAAGTTCATATTTATTTATTCATTTGTTCATCTATCTTTTTATTTATTAAATTTATATGCAGCCCATATCTCAGTTTCAGGTGACTGAATGCCAGCTGCACTTCTCGATACAACCGAAATCTATCCACAAATGCAATTTTAACACAATCTGAAATGAATACTTGAAAGCTTGCCCTTGACTATCTCATGTCAATTAAGTGGCACAAGACTAAAAAGACATCCAGCTTCTAGGACACCAAATGTATTTTCAGCTCCTCAATATCAGTCAAGACCCAAATTTCATCCTCAGGGATGAAAATATTGGTCATTAATGAGAGCATTAGACTAAGGACTATCTATGCTCTAAGAAAGTTTTTTAATGCCTGTCCTCTACTGAAAAACTTCCTTTCTTGTCCACGAGAATAGAAAGAATAGAGAGAATAGAAAGCTGAATTTCCAAGCATGTTTCGTTACTGCTGAATCTCTTAAAAGAAAGCAAACTTCTTTTTAAGAATTCTGCCACAAGGAGTATGTGTACAATGTCCAGATATCATAAATATTTTGTTCAGAATTGTGACCTGTGGTAGCTTTGTGTCACACATTTGCCAATTCCTAAGATATGCAGCTTCCACTATTTGGCTCCAGTTGTCTATCTTTATGTTTTGAAATAGCAGAATAAAAAGGGAGCAACTTGAAATTCACTATTGTAGATCTTTTTTTTTTTAAGTCATTCGTGTTGGTGTGTGTAAAATACAGCAATCTCTGTAGTATCACTAAGAACTTTAGCCCTCTATGAAGAAAAGCATAATATTTAAACTGCCTCCTCTAATGATCTGTTGTGGCATGGACTGTTCTAAGAGTCTGGAAACATTCATATTTTAAGTGTTCTTTCCCCCTGAAAAACTAACATAAGTGGCTTTAAACTAAAGTTTTATATATAATTTACTAATAACACAATATAAAAATGTTAAAAAATGATTGGGATGTAATTGGGTTATAATTGTGCCCTTCTCTCTTTGCCTTTCTATTTCTCTTCTTCCACTGCTTCGCTTCTTCCCCCAAATCGCAGGATGATAAAATAACCAAGCAAGAAATTTTGGACAATTGGAACATGTTTGTGGGGAGCCAGGCTACCAACTATGGTGAAGATTTGACAAAGAAGCACGATGAACTGTAATTGGCCTGGGTGGGGAATATACAACAGCGGGTTCTCCCTTACATGGGAGTGGGAGAAACACACTCCAGAAGGAATTGCTCTCTATTTATTGTTGGAAGGGCCTGCTTAAACTTTCTTCAAAAAGTAGTGTAGCTGGTGTACTTGGGTGGCTTCCCCTAGGATCCATTCCTGTTTTTCCGCAGCTTCCATCTCCCCCAAAGCACTGTGAGCCCTTGTCATGTTATGAAGATCTCCATGTTCGAGATGTTTGAGATGAAATACACTTCCTTTCATCAGTGCATTTAATCTCTTCTGTAATGTTCTTAATGCACTTCAGTTCTTCCCTTACAATCCACACTTGATCTAAGGGAAAGCAAAGATTAGCTCCCTCAAATGCTTCCCTTCTTTTAAGAAGACAAACACGGCTGTTCTCTTTGCAAACACTTGTCTGGGACCTGTTGGGAATAATGAAGTAACTACTCGGGTTCAAAATTACCTCCAATATCTGTTTATATAGGTAAAAAAACATTGAATGCAGGTTGAATGTATTTTTAAGCATCTTAGTGGTAGCCAATACCTTGGATAAATACTGCTTATCTAGGCTTGTAGTTCTTTCTCTGTACCCCTTCCTTCTCCAGGATAACAGGCTTTCCCGAGATGAAGTCTTAGAGTTGATGAAGCACAGCATTCAAAGCGCCAAAGAGTATAAAAACACAGCTGAATATCTGGGGGCCCGCCAAGAATTGTGACCTCTTAACTTGTAAAATTTTGGATAACTAATAAAATCATTTCCCAACCTGTCAAGATATTGTGCCATAGATTGGACAAAGAAGCAGCAAATTTTGTAGGGCAAAAAAGATTGATCCAACAAAAGAGTATGTCACTGTTTTTTAATAGTAATCAATTTCAATTACACTGAGCCTTTGATTATGTGAACTGCACCCTCTATTTTCTTTTCCAAGATAGAAAAACTTGACAATTAAATTATGATTCCTAAAAATAAGCTGCTGATTACACATTTCCCAAGTTAAGAATTCTTTCTTTCAAAAACTTTTAAGAAAGTCTGGTTTACAAAATTGCAGAATACTGTCTTTCTTCATATGCAATATTAGCTTTTTTAAGCTAGCAGATGGCAGCCAGCATCAGGTGGAGAATCATCCCTTTCTTCTCCATCTGAATATTCTAAGCTTGCATCACAGGCCGAGATTTCTTGGCTTCCAGCTCCACGCCTGATCCTGCAAATCCTGTGCCACCCTGGAAAAAGAGAAAACTCATAAGGAAAGAGGAATGGCATGGTGAAGGGAAGGCCCACCCTTATGCTGTCCTTGATGGTTACGGAGCGCTTGTCGCTGGGCAACATTACAACTGAAGCCCAAACTGCTTTGTTTGACAGCTAATCCTGGGGCATGTGATTGCCCTGGGCAGGAGGAAATTCTCTGCCAATATTCAGAAACCTTCAAAGTGAGTGTGTAGTTCCCTACCCTCAAATCTGCATATCATATTTTGCTCTAAACCTGCGTTAACAAAACACATCTAATGCATTCATGAGACTTGGTATTTTAAAACCTGCCATATCACAGTGTACATATGACATGCTTTTTAAAGCATGCTAAGTTTTCTACAACATGGCTGCAAAAAGAACTCTTGACAAATTGAAAGACAAAAAAGTCAAGTATAACAAGTAGAAGGGGGGGGGCATAAGTAAGGCAGAATAAGAGCAAATAGCCCGAGCCTGTAAAGAAAGTGAAGGCTCACAATGAAGAAAGGCTTGCCACAAAAGTAAAAAATAACAAAAAAAGCTTCTTCCAACATGTTAAAAGCAAGGAAAAAGGTTAAGGAAACAATTAGTCCATTGCTGGGAGAAAGTGGCAAGCAACAGGGAGAAAGCAAAACTATTTAACTCATTTTTTGCATCTGTCTTTACACAAAGGGATAAAACAGTCCAACCTATCAAAAACAGCACCACAAAAATCAGATTAGGAACACAAATTGAAATAGGGAAGAAAACAGTAAGTGAGCACCTGTCTACCCTAGATGAGTTCAAATCACCAGGACCGGATTGATTACACCCCAGGGTTCTGAAGGAACTGGCAGATGAGATCTCAGAACCACTGAACTATATCTTTCAGAGATCCTGGTGCACGGGGGAACTGCCAGAGGACTGGAAAAGAGCTGATGTGGTTCCCATCTTCAAAAAAGGGGAAAAAATAGATCAAGGAAACTACAGACCTATCAGCCTGACCTCAATACCAGGAAAGATTCTGGAAAAGATATTCAAGCAAAGAATTAGCGAACACCTAGAAGTAAACAAAGTAATAGCCAAAAGCCAACATGGGTTTGTCAAAAACGGATCATGCCAGACTAATCTTATTGCATTCTTTGACAAAGTGACAAAATTAGTGGATCAGAGGAATGACGTCAATATAGTTTACTTGGACTTCAGTAAGGCATTTGATAAGGTAGACCATAACCTACTACTAGATAAAGTAGAAGAATGTGGGTTAGACAGCATCACCACCAGATGGATTCGTAACTGGCTGACCAACCACACTCAACGTGTAGTCCTCAACGGAACTGCATCTACATGGAGGGAAGTATGCAGTGGAGTATCCCAAGGCTTTGTTTTAGGCCCAGTACTCTTCAACATCATCATTAATGATTTGGATGAGGGAATAAATGGGGAACTCATCAGATTTGCAGATGGCACCAAGCTGGCAGGAATAACCAACACTCCAGAAGACAGACTTAAGATACAGAAAAATCTTGACACACTTGAACATTGGGCACTATCTAATAAAATGAAATTCAATGGTGAAAAGAGTAAGATTCTATATTTAAGCAAGAAAAACAAAATGCACAGGTACAGAATAGGTGGTACCTTCCTCAATAGTAGTAACTGTGAGAGGGATCTTGGAGTCCTAGTAGACAACCATTTAAATATGAGCCAGCAATGTGCAGCAGCTGCCAAAAAAGCCAACACAGTTCTAGGCTACATAAACAGAGGGATAGAATCAAGATCATGTGAAGGGTTAATACCACTTTATAATGCCTTGGGAAGGCCACACTTGGAATACTGCATTCAGTTTTTGTCGCCACGATGTAAAAAAGATGTTGAGACTCTAGAAAGAATGCAGAGAAGAGCAACGAAGCTGATTAGGGGACTGGAGACTAAAACATGAAGAACGGTTGCAGGAACTGGGTACATCTAGTTTAATGAAAAGAAGGACTAGGGGAGACAGTGAACAAGGACTAGGGGAAATAGCAGTGTTCCAATATCTCGGGTTGCCACAAAGAAGAGGGAGCCAAACTATTCCCCAAGGCACCAGAGGGTAGAACAAGAAGCAATGGGTGGAAACTAATGAAGGAGAGACGCAACTTAGAACTGAGAAGAAATTTCCTGAAAGTTAGAACAATTAATCAGTGGAACAGCTTGCCTCCAGAAGTTGTGAATACCCCAACACTGGAAGTCTTTAATAAGATGTTGGATAGCCATTTGTCTGGAACGGTATAGGATTTCCTGCCTAGGCAGGGGGTTGGACTAGAAGACCTCCAAGGTCCCTTCCAACTCTGCTATTGTACCATAAACATCTGTAGATGCCCAAGAGATAACATTCACAATCCAAATAATCCCATATAAATTATATATACATACATACATATATGAATGATGGTTATCTTATTTTAAAAAGTGTTTTAATAGTCAATCTCACCCGTTGTAAAACTATGATGTCTTTGTCTGTCAACTTCTCTCCGTTCATTGGATCAACCATATCCTTCTTGATAAGTTTTTCCACACATTCCAGAGTCACAACTGAGCCTCTTGGGGAGAAAAAAAAAATCTCTTTTACATATTAAATGTAAGACAGATTCCCATGCTTGGATCCAACTAGAGATTTCATCTCATATGTAACCTTTCCTCTCAGAAAAGACAACACCCCCCACCCCATTACTCACGATGGACGGAGCACAGCACAAGGGACAGAGTTTCCGAGCATGTCTCGTGTGACAGCACACACGTAGCGGTCCTGCCGGTTGATTAGTCCAACGCGATCTACACTGGCATCTACAGGAGTGAAGTGCACTGGGATCAAATCTTTCAGCTTCAGTGGTTTCCTACTCATAGGGCAGTACACGCACTTGTCCTGGAAGAAATGACATGAATAAGATAAACTGGGATAAGATAAAATAACCCTAGAAACTGGGGGCTGTGATTTCTAGTCCTATTTTAGGCACAAAAGTCAGCTGGGAGACGTTGGACCAGCCGCGCTCTCATCTTTGAGGAGGAGGCAGCAGCAAACCGTTTCTGATATCCTGCCAAGGAAACTGCAGAGACTTCTCCAGTCGCCAGGAATCAATGCTAGCCAAAGGCATGCACCATCACATACTTGGGTTAGATTAGAATAAATATGGAAACATGTATTCTAATCCTGTCTTTAAGCTGTGGCAGCACAGTGGTTAGAATGCAGTACTGCAGGGCTAACTCACTACTCACACCAAGTGTTCAATTCTGAGTGGCTCAAGGTTGACTCAGCCTTCCATCCTTCCGAGGTGGGTAAAATGAGGATCCAGATTGTTGGGGAAAATAGGCTGACACTGTAAACTACTTACAGAGGGCTATAAAGCACTGTGAAGCAGAATATATTGCTATATAACCTGAAAATATAAGATATTGATGACTGGAAAATCAGAAAGTGCATTAAAAATAATAATATGCATCATACATCATAAATAAATTTTAGTAGTATCTTCCAGTCAACCTGACAACCCCCCCCCCCCCAAGTAATCTTCAATCAGCAAATAAGGAACTCAAATGTTTTAAAAAGAGTTCCTTCATATATCCAGATCATTTAAACATCGGTGAAAATTTTAAAATATTAAGAGTTAAGCAATCATCATGACTAGTTATGGGATCTATGGTTCAACAGATCTGGACTGGAACAGTTTGGAAAAGGCAGCATAATTCTTTAATACTTTTCAACCCACAACCATGAGCAAAGAAAAACAAGACTTAACAGAAGGGCTTCTGATTTGGGGAGGAAAAAAATCTAGATCCAATAGAACTATTAAGTAAATGCTTTAAGTAAAATTTAGGACTTTTTCTAAGAACTCTAAACTAAAAAACTTCACTTTTTAGTTCCACAAAAGCTTTGTGAATACAGCAACACATTAATCCAAGATTTAAAGATTTTATAGTTTTTTATAGACATGGCAGTTAAGCTGGTTTCGTTTTGTAGCATACACAAACTGCAAGATGTACATATGCTAACAGAAGCATTAGGATAGGGGTGTCAAACTCAAGGCCCAGGGGCCAGATCCGGCCCGCGGGGTGCCTATGCTGCCACCCTGGAAACAGCAAAGGACTGGCCTGCAGTGCCTCTGCCAGTGCAGGAGGCTGTCTCAGCTGAAAATGGAGCTTGGGAGCATGTTTTCTCTGGCAGAGCGCTTAGGCCACCACAGGCGCCCCAAACATGAGTGACATTGAGCTGGCCATGCACACACCCGCCCCTCCGAGGTCAAACACAAGCACAATGCAGCCCTCAATGAAATTTGAGTTTGACACCCATGCATTAGGAGAACCTTGAAAAAGAATGACAAAATAAGAACCATATTAATTCAACTTAAGAGTTTATGTTATTCTTCATAGAAACCATGGCAGTTAAGCTGGTTTGCAATGTAGTCAAACGCAAGACAGTTTGGTGAATCTTGAAAAGGAATGACAAATAGCTCACTGGTTTTGGAATTGCTTTGGTCTTGGCCTCAGGCGTCAGTGAAGGGATCCAAAAACTTGGTAGCTGTTTGGCCTTTTCTCCACTGCTGGGCCCAGCTTGAGGGTCTCCTATAATGCAGAGAAGAACAAAGTTATTAAGATTAATTGTATATGGGAAAACACTGCACATCTAACAGTAATGGAATTCATCTACATGCTCAGGGGTGCTGTTGTAATATTAAATGTCCTGTACATAATTTTATATGCAATCATGTACTGCTAAAAACATTTTTTTAATATTACAGAGGCATACATACACATTACACATTGTTAAAAACAATTTTACCTTACAACTGGTGGCATATCCCCCCCACCCTTATGAGGTACTTTTGTTTGGTATACTGTGTTTCCCGGAAAATAAGACAGGGTCTTTTTTTTTTTTACCTCCGAAATAAACACTTGGCCTTATTTTTGGGAGGTATTATTATTTTTGAGGTGCAGGAGGCGAAGAGTGTGGTCACCTCATGGCTGCTGCTGTGTTGCAATATTTTTGGGGAGGGCTTAATCAGGGTGGGGCTTATTTTAGTGCATACGCGCAAAAACCTGATTGGGCTTATTATCTGGGGAGGTCTTATTTTCAGGGAAGCAGGGTACAATTTGCACATTGGGCTACCGTGGCCCCGTGCATGCTTAGTCAAGAACATGTAAAAGGATCCAGGAAGTAGTTTTCTTGTGCATCCCAAAATGTGTCCCTCATCATTACATAGAGCCACGGTGGCATAGTGGTTAGAGTGCAGTACCACAGGCTACTTCTGATGACTTGTCAGCTACCAGCAGTTTGGTAGATCGAATCTCACCAGGCTCAAGGTGAGTAAAATGAGGACACAGATAGTTGGGGGCAATAGGCTGACTCTGTAAATCGCTTAGAGAGGGCTGTAAAAAGTACTGTGAAGCAGTATGTAATTCTAAGTGCTATTGCTATCATTACTTTAGTACTACCAAGCTCCACAAAGATGGGAATAGTGCAGGCATTGTTACTCCATGCTCGAAGAAAGGGTTCAACTGCTTGCATTTCTCCTGGATGACTCACTCCATTAATGCAAAGAGAACGATAGCAGGAGAGCTAATTTGAAAAGAGGTGATGATGGGTAGACAGTAAAACTGAAAAATGGAATGAAGGTAGGAAAAAAGTTTAAGAGAAGACAGAAATATGACAGTAAGCTAAGGAGCTATTTACAGTATGTAAGGACCAATAAAAAGTCACCTCCCCAGTTTAGTTTATATAGGGATATTTTAATTTTCAAAACACAGAAAATAGTCCTTGAAATCAGTCCTTTTATTACTTGTATTTACATAATTTACATTTGAAACACACTTCTTCCAACAATGGATAAGCTTCTTAAAGCTGTCATGAAAGAGCTCCACACCTTATCTCTTTAACTTAACAACCTCCTCTTGAGTGGCTCACAAGGTATGAGATCAAGACTTGTCATGTTGCAGCAAATATCCTATTTGTGCTTTCAAACTCACCTTAATCATTTGTTGACTGTTGCACTTAAGTGTTGCACGCACACACCTCATCTGGATGCTCATCTGGAGCCACATTTTTTATTCAACCCTTGTAAGAAGAGACTGCCTCCCCCCCCCCCAAAAAAAAACCCTGGTTTCTAAAGTTGCTTAAGGCACTGCACCATGAATTACAAACATTGCCAAAAGGCAGGGAAAAATGAATAGGAGCTTTGTGAACACACTGCTTCTACAAGGCAAGCAGTACCAGAACAGAGAAAATGGGAGCAATTCTTATCAAGTCTGGCAGCATCTTTAAGGTTTACACGAGACCAGGCACAGCAGAAGGAAGAACCCATTCGTGTTATACTTGTACACAGAAGGCAAACAAGATATTTCCCCCTTCCACCACCAGTGGCTTAGATGTTGCTTGCATTCCTGATTTACCTGAGTGACGATCAAAGGGATTGAGATGTTTGCTCACAATGCTCAACTCTTTGTCAAGGAAACTCTTCACCTGGGACTCTTTGGCAGCCTTGCTCAACTCTGCCATTTCTGCCTTCTTTTCATTCTTCTGTTTTTCATAGGCCTGCAAATGCCAAAAAGGAGGCAATTACTAAGAAACCATTCACTGTTGCTCTACTTTTCAGCATGTCAATTGTAAAGCAACTGCTTCTGTTCTATATAAGAGATGTAGGGCAAACATGCAGTGGGGATAACTGTGCTCATTAAAAGCAAAAGTAAAGCTTTTAAAAAAGCTGTTGGCTTCATAATTACTTTTAAATGAGAAAAGTTTGAGCAAAAAAAAATAATGAAAAGCTTGTTGGCAACTATGGTAGATGAAGAAACTAGACTGCAGCTGTGGAATGCCCAACCAACAGCAGCACTACATAAACAGAGTTGAGTAAATAGCAGTAAATAGATTTGATGGATCCCAATATCCCAGCCTTATAACAACAGCAGTGAGTTAAGATGCTAAATACCCAAACAAGTAACTGAGCCATAAACATAAACCAAAGTTTGGTTTCTAGCTTAGTAGAGATGTAGTCTTTCTAAAAAGTGCTGATTTTTTTTGTCCTACATTCCTCTAATGTAGTACTATCACCTGAAAAGGGAAAAAGAAGACCCATTCCCATTAATAGCCTCCAGAATGGGATTTGAACTAAAATATACAAGAATCATTATGTGCTCTTTTTATTTTTGATACTCATAATCCAACACTGGCCAAAAGACAGGATGCCTATGTTAACACTTAAATCTCTTTTTAAGTCAGGAATCGATGGCCAATAAGGTCCATATCAACTTTTACTAAAGAAACGTAGTCCCTATTCTATAAATGTATCTTCCAAATCTAGAAAGAGAATTTATTTCTTTACCCTGTTTCCCTGAAAATAAGACCTCCCCGGATAATAAGTCCAATCGGGCTTGTGAGTGCATGCGGTAAAATAAACCCTCCCCAAAAATATTGCAACACAGCAGCAGCCATGAGGTGACCACACTTGCTACCTCCTGTACCTCAAAATTAATAAGATCTTCCCGAAAATAAAGCCAAGCGCTTATTTCGGGGGTCAAAAGAAAATAAGACGTCTTATTTTCAGGAAAAAGCAGTATTTGTATCTCACCTTTATTGTTTTTATAAATAACTCAAGCATATCCAGCACACTTTCCTCCTCATCTTTTCCCCATCTTTTCCCTACAACAACCACATCTGAGGAGAAATGGGCTGAGAGAGTGACTGGCCTAAATCACCGAGCTGGTTTCCCCAGCTAAGGTGAAACCTGAACTTTCTAGCCTGGTGCCTTAACCACTAGACCAAAGAAAGAGTAACCAAATTTGGCCACAGCTATGGAGTTCATCTTCAGTTTTCAGTCAAAATCTAAATGTATTGTTTTATAATGTTTATATATTAATTCTAGAATAAATTTCTCAAAGAAGTTTATAGAGCAAAATTGAATAACCACTAAAATCTTGTTTCTAGATCTACTTCCACATCCTTTCTTGAACAGACTGTTTCTTAAACCTTGCAGCCCCGTTGGTCTGATAGTATCAGCCCTTCTGGGCCATTAGGCAATGACTGTCAGAAGCTTTGGATATCTTTCTTCCTCAAACTACAGTGAATCACTGGCAGAGGATAAAGGCTTTTGATCTGGATAAATGCTACTGAATAGCAGGCCTATGAAAAGAATAAAATAATTCTTGTGAATTGTTATGAAGATAAAGTATCATCTGAGTCTTTATAAAAATGTAGAATGCCCACACTAAACTCACTTCAGCTAAGTCACAGGTACTGGGTTAATTTTCATGTTATATAGCATATATATTTTATGTTACTGGGATTCAGTTCTTTTCCGCATCTTCTTTCATTTGCTAGCTGTTTTAAGAATAATCTTCCAATATATCTATTAAAATTGACAATTAGGTACGAACTCAATTATCCTTGTAGCTCTCTATATTGGCATACCTTCATTTGCCGGGCAATTTCCTTTTTCTGATGTAGGATATACTCCAGGATAGCTTCTTTTTCATACAGGTATCCATCAGGGCTGGAAAGGGGGGGGGAGGGGAAGCAACATAAATATCACTTATAAACCCACCATAACCCAAGTACTAAAGCCCCCATGCTTCTTTGACTACAGTGAGAATTTCAGAGCGTAATCATATTGTGTATTCTAGGATACATCTGAAAAGTCGTAATATATGTAACTGAGTGGCAAGATGGGGCATGTTTTTAATGTCCAGAATGACCCTTAACCCTTATAGAGAAGAAACAAATGGTTAGGGCTAGAGTTTATTTTTCTGAGTTTGGGGCAGGAAGTTGGAAGTTTGTTTGTTTTTTAACTGCAGTAAGCCTATTTTGAGGTATCTTTAGCTTGTGTGACAAAATGTCAAGAAACCATGCCATTACAATTAGAGGGGTGGCAGGGATGAAATTCAGCAGGTTTAGATAAGTTCTGGAGAACCGTTAGCGGAAATTTTGAATAGTTCAGAGAACCGACAAATATCACCTCTGGCAGGCCCCAGAGTAGGGTGGGAATTGAGATTTTGCAATATCCTTTCCCCCAAGAATGGGGAGGGAATGGAGAATTTGCAGTATCCTTCCCCTGCCACGCCCACCAAGCCATGCCCATAGAACCGGTAGTAAAAAAAATATTGAATTTCATCACTGCTTTATGGGCTTCAAAAAAGTGGCCCAGGAAACACATGGTAAAGTTTCAGGATCAGAGAGGATAGAGATGAAACCAACAGCATTCAAGAAGTCTAGTATCTCCGCATGCATAGATATCCTCACTTAAAGACTGCAAGTAAGACCAGCAATTCCTTTACTAAGTAACATGTTTAAGTGAAATATCATATGACTATCCCAGACTTATGATGCCACTCCCACAGCATTCATTAAGCAAATTATCCTAGATCATTAAGCACAATGTCACGTGATCATATCTTGCAACTTATTGCCAGTTTCTCCTTTGACAGCTTATCAGAAATTGGTTGTGAAACTCACAAATGGCAATCATGTGACTGTGGGATATTCTGACCACTATAAATGCATGCCAATTGCTAAGGGCCCAAATTGTGATCGTGAGATCATGGAGACACTGTTAATGTCATACGTTCAGGGGTGGCTGTAAAACTACCTTTTCAGTGCAGTTCTAAATTTGAACAGTCACTAAACAAGGCAGTTAACAAAGGATAACCACTACAGATATCAATTTGACGGGAAAGAGGATTTTTTTACAGAATTGCAGACAAAAGCCAGGATTGGTAATGGAGCTATGCCCCATTTCTCGCTGGCCTTTGTTGTTTTAGTTTAAAACTTGTCTACATCATTCCCAATTCTGTAACAGTAACTGTATTCTGCCCCTTTGTTCACCTACTCCTCCCCCCAAAATAAACTTTTTCGTGCACCAATGATATTCAGAAATAGCAATCTGTGGAGGATCGCAATGCTATAATGCCTAAAATAGTTCTCATAGAACATTTCATGTGCAACAATAGATACATGAAGTACGTGATCTGTGTTCTATTGCTGGACTTAATTTTCCAGAGAGAGGGGGCATAATAGCACAGAGACATACTGAATTTATGTTCTAGTTTTTAACCGCAATTCCTCTATGAAACAGAAGGTAATTATTTTCCAAACAAAGGCTGGAGGAGCATACCAACAGAATTAAGATTGTGCAGGAAAGGCACAAAAGAGACAAAAGCAGTTCTTGTGGGGTTTTCCCCCTCCCCGGCCCCTGTAAAAAGTAAAATTGTAGACTTTTTTTTAATACCTGGGAGGATTTAAAAGGCAAAGTGCATCTATTTCACTCTTAAATTTTCAAATTTCCTTCCAAAACAAGGCTAGGGCCAGCACTAAATATGTCATGCAAATAATAAAGTACTGTCAAGTGGCAAAAGGTACACATTACTTTATCTGTACAATTACACACTAAAAAGGCTTCTACATTTGTTTTTAAAAAATCAACAGGCGCATACAGCAAAGGTACAAATAAATTAATGATACTGGGCAGGGTCAATTATTCTATTATTTTTAGAGATTACATTATTGAGAAAGTTAAATAAAAGACACACAGGAAGAACTTCAGCATAAGACTAAAATATTTCAAATGGATCTGATAATTACGTCACAACAGGGTCCTTGCAGGGCTGCAGGGAGAGACAGCAGCAATCAAAGTCCTTGACAGCATCTTTGCTCAAACGGACGTTCTGTGTCCCATAACCAGAGGCAGCTGAAAAAAACAGAGGGAAGGTCACAGTAAGAGAGCAGTATTGAAAAAACCTATTCAAATGGCTCTTTGGATTGCTGGATAGAACTGGTAAAAGATAACAACTGATGACACTCTAATCAGAAAGGCAGTGTTTGCCAAGAAGGCTCAGCTTGTTCCAAAACTTGTAGTGTGAATTAGTATAAGTCTGAGTTTCGATTAAATACTAGAGCGTATTAATCACACTCCAGGGGTGTGAACAAAACTCTGAACTAATCTAGAAATTTTCCCAATATCCAGCTAGTCATAAACAGCACAAAGGTAACTGCCTCCCAGTTGTGGTCTTCATTATTTCACTATATTATGTCTGAGGGGTGGGGAGAAATTACTCCCAAATCTTGTGACAATCCTCTGAACCTTTTTCTATAAAAGCAATATAAACTACACACAGAGGATGTCAACCGACAAGACCTAGGGACTTCATGAAAAACTTTTCTTTCCACTGAATAAATGGAAAGAAAATGTTTGTAATTATTCTTATTTTACCAATACATTTCTCCTATCCTACTTGAGACATCCTCTTCACATAATCTCCTGCACTGTGGATTGCTTTTCCTCAACATGATTTCCTGTCATCCCTAGCCAGCATGCCAATTGATATGCTAGCAGCACAGAATGAAGATTGCAGTTCAACACATATAGCAGAAACAGGCTAAGAAAAATTGCTTTGGATTTCCACATGCAATTCCATTATTGCAATGAGAGGCAAACATTTCCCCACTCAACTAAGGAACACACAGCATATATATTTCAGTCTGTGGCCTCCTCACCTGTGTCCTTTTTCTTTTCATGGTAGGTGTAGACAGCTCCCGCTGTACAGTTCTTGCCATGACGCGTCATATAGACGTAGCTGGACAATCCAGGACAAAGCCAATTCTCTTCTAAGAAGAAGATATCAAATTAACTAGTGAAATACAATGTCAGATACAAAGAAGCGGATACCTTTACATAGGAAGCAGATTAAAACAAAGATTAAAGATTTAAAGATTAAAGATATTTAAAGCTTTTTTAAAAAGTTTTATTGGACTTTTATGTTTAAATATACATCAATATCAATACATGAACAGTGTGGCCTCTGGGTATAAAACAACAATAACAACAACACTAACACTAATAACAATAACAATAAAAACAGGAATAATTTAATTGACTGAGTTTCATGTTTAATGAATAAAGTATATAATAATAATTACATTAATCAAATTTATATAATCCTAGTATTGATATACAAGTTTATTTTAAAATAGTTTTTCAATATTAATTCCATTTTAATGCCAATCTTTAAAGCTTTAAAGATATAAAAGACACTGAGATACAAATTAGTCAGGCAGATGATGCCAAACTACTCACAAGCCACACTTTGACCGCTCTATTCCGCAGTGAAAAGCGACCTGCTGTGCCGAATGGCGAACAGCAAGTGAAACCTTTGACAGATGCCTGGCAGGGGTTGCAGATCAAAATGCTTCAGAAGGAGCCAGCTGAAAGGTTGGCACCTTAACAACCATTCCTGGCCTCCAGGCACTTAATACCGCAACTCCTTTTTTCTGCCGTTCTTCTTTCAGTTTAATAAACGCTCAAGAAGACGACGGTTTGCCCCTCCTGGACAATTTCTCCCCCAACACCGGAAGCAGGAAATCTATGAGTCCGGAAGGGCTCCAAAGAACGGAAATCCCCCCCCAACCCGGATGTGTATCGGATTAAAGCGTCCCGCGAAAAAGGAGTTGAGTGCTTCTAAACCGAGGTTCCGGACGTTAAAGAAGCGTTCAGGCCTGTGGCTTTTGTCTCTGTGTTGTGGTCTTTTGTTGTTGTTTAGCGCCCTCAAAGTTTTTTCTCCCCCAAATTCCTTTGCAGGTGTAGGGAGAGCGATTGTTGGGGGGGGGCAAAGGGCTTTTTTCTCTTAAAATGTCTCCAAAATTATTAGTTTATAGATTCTTTTTGCAGTTGCTGTTCTTTGGATCTGCTGTTATTTTCTGATGGTTGGAGTTACTTAGCTTTAATAGTATATTTCATACATCTCCTATTTCAAAAGATGCTTGGAGCAGATAGGCTACTTCTATAATACAAATATTTGGAGGCTGGGACTGATGAAAATTATTTTCTAAACTATTCAGAATGTACTATGTTCTAAGCCTTTCCATCTCTTAGAAGAGTGATTTACCCAAACTTGCTATTTCCAAGTAACTTTCACCAATCTAATTAAAAGTTTTGGGTTTTGCAGTTTGCACTTGGAGGAAATCAGGTGGGGAAGGGTATTCTTGTATTGTCAGTCTTGTACGTTTTTTTAAAATACAGAACTGAACAAACCTTGTAGCTATTCTGAAACAGAGGGGGCAGCATGGGAAATATTTTAGTATAACATTCCCTTATAAAATGCATGAAGGCAGATCTTTGGATATTAAAAAGGGATTTTAGCGGGGTGTGGGGAGAGAAATAGAGGGAGAACAACAATTACCTAAACAGAATATTATAAAAGCAATGCAGTCGGCAAAAAATAAACTACAGTACTTAATTATTACTGAAGTTCCTGGGTTCCAACTTTTATATTTTTATTGTAGAAAGGATGGTGGGGGAAAACGGGGCTGTGGTTGGATATTGATTGTGTAGGAACATGTTCTTGGCCCTTTTTGTTTACACAGGAGATTCTCCTGAGCATTGATTTTACAAAAAGGTGGGGAATGGGGACAAAAGCCAGTCTCTAAAATATATGTTGCTTTGCCCAATCAAGAAAATCCTCTGGGTTTTGTCTGGAGGTTCTAGCAGCTATCGTATACCCTGGCATCTCCCCCAGCATGGCTCTCCAAAATGTTTAAAAATCTGGCCCCAAATTGTTGGAAGTGTAAAAAAACACCAGACACTTTTTATCATATGTGGTGGACGTGCAATGAGGCAAAAAAAAATTGGAAAATGGTTCAATCATAGTTAGAACAAATGTTTAAACCAGACATTTAAATGTTTAAATGTCTTGTTTAAACCAGAAATTTTTCTCCTAGGTATAATACCGGAGGGGTTTAAGAAAGATACACTTTATCTAATTATACATGTACTAACTGCGGCACGCATAACTTATGCACAATATTGGGAAAAAGAAAATACACCATCAGAGCTAGATATAATTTGAAACGTGTTGGCCTGTGCGAAAGCAGATAGGCTCACTCTTGAACTTAAAAATAAAGGGGAATCAGAATATTTTGAAGTCTGGAACAGATTTTATGATTGGTATAAGACAAGGTGACAAGACTGGAACAAACTATATATATTGTGATTGGACAGAAGGATAGACAATGTATTAAGTAGGCTAATAGTTAATGGTTGAGACTACATGTATATAATATAAATGTATGGTCACTTTGACTTCACGGTACTGCATTGTTTTAAATGTAAAAATAATAAAAATATATTCCCCCCCAAAAAATGCTCCGGTTCCAAACAGCAAATCAAAAGGAATCCAAAGACTAAAACCATTTTCAAAAGCTAATTGTCATCTAGTCACACCTCACAGCATGGGTTACTTTATCAGATCCTTTAGGGGGCACTGTGTACCTTTGTCAAAACCAAGAGTTAGTCTTCCCACCAAAATGAAAATTTTAATTATAAGATGGAAGTAATTTTGAAAAACTTAATGTTACTTCCCATGAAACGTGGAGAAAAAAGACTTTTCTGCCTGCGAGTCTTAAGATCTCACATGCTACAACTAGCTGAAAATAAAAATGATATAACAAACTGCTGTTTCTTCTGTTTTGGCAATAATATTGGCCAGATGATCTGAGCACATAGCGATTATTGTGTCTCCCAACTGATACGTTTCCCTGTTTCTTCCCTTCCAATCTGTTCAGACACAGCAAGCATCAATTTCTTTCCTTTCCATTTGTGGACATAGTTTCTATTTGTAGATCTTTTGAATGAACCCACCTTGTACTTTACCCTTTAGAATTTTATTAATTTATTTCTATCCTGCCTTTTTTATTTTTACAAATAACTCAAGGCATGAACTATATCCAACACACCTTCCTACTCCCATTTTCCCTATAATAACATCCCTGTAAGATGAGTTTGGCTGAGAGAGAGTAACTGGCCTAAAGTCACCCAGGTGCCTTGTATAACTAAGTTGTGATTTGAACTCTCATATTCCTGCCTTCTAGCTTGGTGCCTTAATCACTAGAACAAACTGGCTCTGTGCAATTTCATTTTCTTGCTGTATCTAGCACTTTCCCAAAGATTGCTGACCATTCCTTGTTCATATATACAATGGACTCCCAATATGTGGCCTTATTGGACAAAGAAAAAAAAAACTAGCAGGTGAACCCTAACAGAACTGTATTTGAGCATCGTTCTGGATAAGAACTTCAAGGAGAAAATTGGTGCCTCTTCCATGTTTGGTGCATGCTGAATGACTACTGATTGTCTAGTATCTTCAGGGAGGGATTCAGCCAGTTCAGGCGAACCGGTTGTTCAGATTTTGCGCAGTTCAGAGAACCCGCAAATCCCACTACTGGATGGCTCCGCCCCGCCTGCACCATCACTCCTCATCTCACTTGGCATCACTGCTGCACTCTGTCTGGCTCCCTCGCTTGCCTCAACCACACAGTCTCTGCGGGCCAGCCAGCTTGCTTGCCTTCCAACACAGCTGCATCCCACATGGCACTTTCCCCGCTGAATGGCCCTGATCTGCCTGGGTGAGCCTGCGAGCAAGGCCCGAATCACAGCCTAGCTGCCTCCCATGTGGCCCAGCCAGCTCGCCTGCTTTCCACCATGGCTGCATCCCATGTGGTGCTCTCCCTGTGGCCAGCTGAGTGGCCCTGATCTGCCTGGGTGAGCCTGCGTGCAAGGCCCGAGTTCCGGCTTAGCTGCCTCCCACATGGCCCAGCCAGCTTGCCTGCCTTCCGTTGTGGGCTACCATGCCGTAGCCACAGCCCAGCTCTCTGCCTCAACTGCCTTAGTTTTAGGTTGCTACCAGTGGTGGGTTCCGGATCCCGTTGCATCCAGTACAGTGCAATGGTGCCGGGCGCCCACCATATGCATGCACACAGCACACACGCAACACGCACATGCATACCCACCGCCCGCAACACTCCAGCTGCTCAGCAGAGCATTGCGCAGGCGCCGTATGAGATAAAGAGCTTATTGAAAGCGGAAGCCAACTTTGTAGATGGCACTATACATAAGCAAAGCAAATACCGCATGCAGAAATCCATTCAAGACAGGATATTTCAAAACTCCTTACAGCAAAATTTGACAGCTAACAAAAAAGGCCTATGGGACAGATCAGGATTAGTACAGCACCCCTTACCCAAGATCCAGCACAGGACAAAAGCCATTAAGAATTGCCCAACACCCTTTAAGTGCACTGCACACACACACACACACACACCTGCAGCATTTCAGGACATGTAAAAAAATCCTGGCACTCATCTAGCTATTTGTTCAGCTGACCCAGAACTGCATGTTGCCTTTGTCTGTGGTTCTGTTCATCATTAAACTTCCTTTCAAATCAGCATCCATTTTATTCCTGGCTTGGATCTGAACCAGGTGGATTTTCCAACAACTGTAACAACTGTACCAAAGGAGGTGGGTGGAATGATGGTCCGTAGAGAAATGGCCATCACCAAATGTACATATATACCTATAATATAACCTGCCTTCCGGTCCTAGTGGGCCAAGTGGATATAATAGAGGAGAGGTAAACCCAAATATTTTGAGCAAATACCAACTTCTGGCTCTCCTAGAGGCTCATGTAAACCTTTCTTCCTTGTGGGAGTTGCTCACAATTCTCTTTTGCTCTCCTCTGACCTAGTATGTCATATTTTTCTCCCCATGGAATTCATCATACATTGACCTCACCTACATTGAATTGACTTGCATCCCATCTGCTATGCCAACATATTTCTTTTAGAAGCATCCTGCTACAATACAGGCTGTATTGCTGAACCCCACCTCCTGCTAATATGTCTGCTTCCTGCCTACATGTACACTACTATACTATGCTGCATTTCCCTACAATATAATTCCAACAGTGCATTGCCTATAGCCAGGCACCTCTCCTCAGGCGCTAGAAGAATGCAGATATGCAAAACATAGCATCCCGAGATTCTGCTGAGCTGCATTTCCACTCTGCAGAGACTGCTTTGTAAGCTTTTGGTGATTGTGTCTGCTACTATGTGCATTCTTCATACAGCCAAAACAATGAGCCCATCATCAAGCACACAACAAAGGAAGGGTCAGTGCTGAACTGGAGGAGTTAGTAGGTGGTGAGAAATACCTGCTTCCAGGCATTCCTCAGCACCTACTACTTCCTCCAGTACAGCACTGAGGAGTACATCATCGAGAATTACACTAGCCTTATTTGCTGCACTAATATTAGTGGATGGGCACAAGATCTTGCTGTACAAATTCAGCCAGTTAGGCTGAAGCCTAACTTCAGATAATAACGCATAATGAATTGTTGCTTGAATGCTACTGTGATAATAGTATCAACAATCAAGCTTGCCATTTGTTTATTAAAGATGAAAATTATATGTCCCTGCAAGACTTGCCTTTTAGTGCTGCACTGAAGGTAACATGTATAACTTGTCAAATTTTAAATTGATATTTGGAGGCATATGCCTCTTGTGATAGAGTAGAACTGGAAGAAGAACCAAGAG